TCCAATTTCCCTCTTATATACCCTGTTCTTATAGCTGTTGGACTAGGGCAGAACAAAAAAGTTCGAACCGGGATTCGAACCCGTGACCTCTCGCTTACCGGGCAATTGTGCTAACCATTACACCACTTCCCCAATTGACCGCCCTTCCTCCAGGGGGAGTTAACTTCAGTTCACCTTGTTTTCCTCTACCCACTCCCTTCATATCATTTCAATCAATCATTTCCCAAAACGGTAGCTCTAGGGAGAGCCAAATAAATGGCCGGCAACAAAATGGCCGATATCGACAACGGGTCCGAAAAGTTTCTCTCTCTCAAAATATCGGGAAATATAGAGATAGACGGCGAGAGTCGAAACAACTCCACAAAATACACAAACTATAACAGCCACACGATTGAGAAAGAGATTTTGATGGAAAAGAAATTGAGAGAGAGATTTGTGGAGGGAAAAAGAGGGAAACGGGGAATACCCTTTGTACCTCAGCCGGTCTTTTCTCGATTTCTCTCTCTCCTCCACAATTCCCCCTCTTTTTTTTTGTGATTCGCGAATTGTTATCGCTTCCCCTCTCTTTTGCCAAACTCAATGTGGCCGGAAATTTTTGGAATTTGGCCCCTGCAACAATGATCTGGTGTCACTTTTTGATCCGATCTTTTCAATTTACTTGCAAATGTTTGCTAAGGGTTTTGGGGATGAAAAATGTCTACAAGATTGAGTTAGTGTTGACAATATTTGCTTTGGCAATCATTCATTGTCAGTATTAGGCTGTTCAGAAAGTCTTTTCGTTCCCTGCTTCTGTCGCTTTGTTAGTTAGTGCACATGAGATCTCTTTTTAAGCTTTGTATAGCTTTTTGCTTTGTTATGATACAGTAAATGCGGTGTACGCACGGCTGCAGTTGGTTTACACAATGTTTAGAGTTGGCTACAAGTAACTACAAGTAACAAGTACTACAAGTAATAGTTGGCTAGAAGAAGTACGAGGTTGAGATACAGTTAGATAGCTAAACATTGTGCATTCCAACTCACTCCAGTACTAAGTGACAATAGATAGAATGACAATAGACAATAAAAAATAAATTTTCAAATTCCCAGTTTTCTGATCATATTTTTGATTAGCTTTACTTCCATTTACATAAAAAGAAATTTTTTTTAATGCAAAACTCTTGGAGGAAGGCAGATCAATTGCGGAGTGATGTAATGGTTAGCACAATTGCCCGGTAAGCGGGAGGTCGCCGGTTCGAATCCGATCCCAGCGCAAATCCTCTCTTTGCCTTAAAAGAAAACCTTGAAGAATTTCTCTTGTAACTTTCATTTTCTCATTATTCCATACACTCAAATACACTCAAATCATTCTCTAGAATCAAATTGGACTTTTTATCCAAAAAAGAATTCTTTACAAGATGTTTCTAGATAAATATTGCAATGTTTATATGATGAATTCCAGTGCAAATCCCTCCTCAACCTCATCACTTCCCGCCTCCACTTCCCGCTCATCCATCGCATCACATTCACAACGTTCCACAGCCACTCGAATTTCTTCATCCGAAAAGTGAACACGGTAAACTTATTGGAAAGATACTATATCTATAAATTAATACATTAATACTATGTTTATTTAATAGCTTTTCTAAATTCTAAATTTCTAAACTAAATTTAGCTATTTAATAGCTAAATTTAGCTAAATTTCCTTATCTATTCTCCTAATCAAATGCTACAAATGAACTATGACTGAATGTTTGTAATAGTCACAGTAAACTTGACTCACTTCTGCCGTAATCCGTTTCTATTTAAGCACTTTCTTCCCAAACTATAAGAAAGCAGGATTTTTTAGCTACAATATGCTAAAACAAAATCTGTAGACGATAAGGCTAATTACTATATCTTTAACCTTATAACCTATGATATTTTGATGTAACTTCAAATTTTGATGTAATAACTTCAAAACTTTAACTACAATTAACAACTACAACTATATTATACTCAAATTTGATCGATCAAAAAGTTTCGCCGATTTTTTGCAAGAATTTGTCAAAACAACACACGATTAACAACAAGCTCTATTCGAAAAAGATCAAGAGAAAATTTCTCCCTAAAAATGGTCGAGTAATCGACACTTTTTTCTCGATTCTCTCATTTGACCGTTTTACGAGTCATTCTTTCAATCCTTTTCTCTATTTTTTTTTTCTAAATTTTCTTTTAAAGAAAAATCCTATAAATCCAGTTGTTTCATTGATGTTTGCTTGCTATTTGATCAACATATAACTTTAAAATTTTGATAGCACTAACGCTTTCAAAAAACTTTGATAAAAATGTTTGCTAAGGTACGTTTGCTAAGCTATTTTAAAAAATTACTGTAATACTAATGCTAAAATTTGACTAATCTAGACTCTAAATGATATAAGTAGACTAGTTTACTGTACTTATAGATTACATTACACTATGATACTGTAGCCAAGACAATGATGAATCTTAAGCTTTGAAATAGCTCCACTTTTCCCTGCACTACTCCAGTTTTTGAGCTCGCACGAATGCGTCAGATGGGATGCGTTTACGGGGTGAATGAGCCTGAGCCTGAGCCAGAGCCATAGCCAGAGCCTGAGCCTGAGCCTGAGCCAGAGCCATAGCCAGAGCCATAGCCAGAGCCTGAGCCTGAGCCAGAGCCAGAGCCTGAGCCTGAGCCTGAGCCAGAGCCAGAGCCAGAGCTTGAGCCTGAGCTTGAGCCTGAGCCAGAGCCTGAGCTTGAGCCTGAGCCTCTTAAAGTGGGATGCGCCTGTCAAACCGAACACCCAGATTCTTTAATAATTATAGTTTTTTTTGGAAAAATCACCAATGACTTTCCCAAATTCATCAATCAATTCGTTCTCGAACCAATCTTGTCAACAATTCTCGTCGAGAGACCGAATTGTGTTGCCAAAAGAGAGTCATAAAATGACCGTACCCCTCGTTGAAAAGTATTCAATCAAAAAAAGCGATCAAAAAGTGTTTCCCCTCTTTTCACCTCTCTCATTTTCTCTTTCTTTCTTACTTTCTTTTCCTTTTTTCGATTTCCCTCATCGATATCACTCGAAATGACATCACTTTTAGGTCAATCTCTTCCCTTTCCTCCTTTCATCGATATTCTATCATTTCACCGATCTCTAGGCATAAATTTTGGCATAAATAAGTGATGAACTTACTCGTAACAACTCGTAGCTAGCTTCAATGTACAGTCGAAATTCGATATAACGAACACTATTTTTGGTCCCAACGAAGGGTTTCACTTTAAAATGACTTTCGATACAATGAACACTTCGACATAACGTACTTCTTGGCTTTTTGGCTTTTTTGGCCGGTCCCTTTAGGTTCATTATATCGAAATTCGATTGTATATTAGTTATAAACCCGTACTCTTGCCAAGTACTTCAAGAGTCAGTACAAGTAGTTGTATTACCATTAAAGCTTTTTACAAATGCTTATTTTATAAATCAATCTCCTCTCAAAGAATTCAAAATGACGCAGTGACAGGTGGCTCTTTTTTCAACTTCAAATTTTATATTAATTAAATGGTTTTGTCTGGTTTGATGAGGGGAAAACGTTTGGAGTTGAATGTCATTTGGAGTTGAATGTCACGGGAGTTGAAAACGTTTGGAGTTGAATGTCACGGGCCAAGTTTCAATCTACTATAAGAATTATCTATCTACCTATCTCTATCTATATAAGAGCATCGGCTGAAATAGTAAACCGGCTACGACACATAAATCCATTGCCCGGCGCAACCATCTGATCTCCCATTACTCTTATGACGCATCCAAAAACCTTTTTTATCAAACAAAAGAAGTCCCCTTCTAAATAAAGCCCAATAAAACGTGTCATTTGACCCATCCGTCTTCTCGAAATTCTCTCCAATTCCCATTTTCTTTTATCAATTACTCTCAAAAAGATAATAAATCCCGCGGGTGAATTTCTCCTTTTTGAAATGATCCTTTGAAATGATGAAATGATGTGCGCGACTCTTTCATCTCCTTCCATCCATTCCATCTTCCCAAATACCCATCAATGCTTTTTCCTTTTCTATTTTCTTTTCCACAACACTCACCTCTTTTTTTTCATCGATTTCTATTAGCTGTGATTTTTGTTTTTATTTGTTTTCATTTGTTTTCATTTGTTTTATTTGTTTGCCAATCAACAAACATAACTTAATCAGGACTCAACTTTTTGCATTGATTTTTGGCGATTCTTTTGATCATCTTCTGATAAGATGTTTGGTGAGTTTTTTAGCCAAACTTTGTAAATGGAAAAATGTAAATATTTCCTTTCAAGTAGCTTTTTACACTTTGCTCACTTTCTTCCCATCTCACTGGTGGCTCATAGGCGAAAGATTTGAGTTAAATAAATCTTAGAGTGAGTTCCAGCATAGAATTTAGAAATTTTTCCCATCTATTGACAAAATCCTTAGTATTTAAAGTAATGAAGTAATGAAGTAATGAATATTTAAATATTTAAAGTAATGAAATCAACGTTTTACCGTTAGTTAGACTTTAAGCGAGCTAATCTTGTTGAAGCTCGAATCACTCTACAAAATCACAGCTCTTACATCATTCAACTCATACAGTTGAAGATAAGGTTGACTTTTGGAAAATCCCTGATCGAAAATTTGTTCAAATTTGAAACCATTCTTTCAAACCCTCCTTTTGAGCAAAGAGATGATTTATCTTTTTGATTTTTCAATCTCTAATGCACCCAAGTATCACTCAAAATAGTCAAACCAAAAAACACTCTCCGAAATTGATAAGCGATCGAAAAAGTACCCTAAATTTAAAATTGTACCCAATAGAATCACTGATTAGAAAACATGGTTTTGATAGAAATCGAGGAGTTCCCTCAGTGTACCCAAACTCACTTGAGGGATCGGCGCTGAGACTAAAACATTCCTTATCTTTGGTTTTGGTATTCTTGACGTAATCCTCAAAAACTACGGTACTTTGCCACTATATCTACTCAGTTTTTCGACCTTTATCCCCAAAGAAATGATCGACTTTTGCTGGCTAGCTGACACACTGCAACTCTTTGATCTCGTTGATGAGCGCAAAGGTTCAGCAAAGTTTTTGAATCAAAGCTATGACATTGAAAAGCTTTAACCTCATAGATCATGTTCAAATTGCTTGTCTTATTGAGAGGATTTCAGGAATGACCACACAGACAGCCCCATGCTCTTCATTACCGACAACAACTGGTGAGTATTGGTTTAACTTTGGTTCACTGTCAACTTTGATTTCATAACCGTGCTTTTTAGAACTTCGGAGTAGGACTTGACTAGAGTAGGACTAGGACTTGACTCCTACCGGAGTAGGTTGACTCCTACTGGAGTAGTCAAGTCCTACCGGAGTAGGACTTGACTTTCAAAGCCAAAATATTCAGCTTTCCGCTTTTTTTTGTAACAAATCCAATCTTTTCAGGTCTAAAATGCCGTGTTTGTGGGGATTCACGTGCTGGTCGACACTATGGAACAATCGCCTGTAATGGATGCAAGGGATTCTTTCGCAGATCGTAAGTCACAAATCGTTTCAGAGAACACAATCATTTTTTTTCCAGGATTTGGGAACAACGAGATTACACATGTCGCTTTGGAGGGAAATGTCAAGTTGTGCAAGGTAAAAGGGATTAAATCAAGATTTGAAAGCTAGAAAATCAAATTTTCAGAATACCGAAATCGTTGCCGAGCTTGTCGCTTGAGGAAATGCTTTGAAGTGGGCATGGATGCAAGGGGTTAGTCAGTTCATTCGGTCATAAAATGCAAGTGTACGATAGTTTTCTAGAAGCTCATTGTTCTAGGTCTTATGTAAGTGTCAAGGCACAATATTATAAGCTATGTAAAGGAGAAAGAAAGGAGACTTTACTAGCCAAAAAAAAGTATTTCAGCCGTTCAGTCCGAGCGCGATAAACACAAGAAGAAATCGGTTCGCGATTCGCCGATGAGTGACGATGGTGAGTAAAAAAGAATCTAGGAAACAGAATTCCTATTCTAATCGAAACGAAAAGAGTTCTAATCTGAGGAGAATGAATCTCCTCAGATTCGGACGTCCGGATCGGAGATGGACGTCTCCTCAGATTCGGACGTAACATATATATAACTATTTACCGCCACTCATCTGACCATTTTAGAATCAGAAGCCCCCGGCCCAAGCACTTCAATGGCGCCCACTCCCCTCTCAATCAACGTTCCCCAATCTCTTCCTCCATCAACTCCTCTCCATATGATGTCTCCAATTCGTTCTTCCACTCGTCCCTCCCTTCCTCCATCAACTTCATCTTCATCTCATCCTCTTCAATTCTCACATCAAATCCCGCCAATGACATTCACCAGTACGCTCAGTGGTCAGTGCTTAGAAAAGAAATAAAAATGATTAGTGTTATTCAAAAGATTCCATTTTCTAGAAAAAATGACTTATATAGTTTAATAGAAATATAGAAAAAATAGAAGGTTCTTAGTCATCGTAAACCAGCCTTGTTACAGGTTTAGTTATTGAAACCTTTTTTTTTTGCAGAAATGTACGACATAAAACCGAACATCGATTGTCATTGCCCCAAATTGGGTACAGTCCATTGTTGTTCTTGTGTTTTTTTTTTGTTTTGTTTTGTTGTGTGGTTGAAAACTCTTCGTTTCCCCGATTCCCCGATGAAATGGCTGAAATTGATCCCTTTCCTTTAGGTGTTGTGAATCGAGCGTTTGCCGAGACTCTCTCCGTGCCACCGATGAAACGAATCAAAGAAGATGATCGATCATCGCCATCAATCAACGATTCAATCATCTACACCCAACCACCGCAATCACCATACATCTTTGTGAATTCACAGGTTTGCAAAGAATGTATGATGGCTAAAGATCACAAAAATGGCCAAAGATCACAAAGATGGTCAAAGATCTTTGTGTTTGATCGTAAAATATAGCTAAAAATCAATTTTTGATAATCCTGTGCCTTGTAAAGATCTAAAATTAATAGAAATTGGGGATTTCTGTTTTCATGTTCTCATTTTCAGATGCCAACCTCGTCTCGTTCGCTAAATCTCCATCATTTTGTCCGCGAAAGAGTCCCCCTTGTGGAGTACCTTCTGGAATTGGTGAGAATCGAAATTGGAAACGAATTGTAGATAAAAATAATCTATAGGAAGCAATCTGTGATAACATGGTCGATTCCGAGGACGCTGAAGTGACAAACGATTTCGAGAAGCTGTGCAGAGTGGATGTGACAATCGAGATGGCGTTTCGACAACCAGGGCTTGTTGCAAAGAGGACACACGTAAGTTAGAAAAAAATAAACTAATAAATAATTAGCGGGAAATGGTTTGAAGCAACTATTATATCCATCACAAGCTTGTCCCTAATACAAGCTGATAGACTTTGAATCTACTAGACCGTGGCCAGATCTAGGACCGACCTGGCCCCTAACTGACTTCCAAGCTAGACTTAGTATGAAATTGTTCATTATGTAATGTTATCTGGATCTGGTCTTGACCCAGATCTACTCCAAGCCTAAACTGATCTTGATTCTGGCCTTGAATCAGCTAGTCTGAGCTGGATCTAGCCTTGATCCAGGCCTGGATCTTTGTTATGTAAACACGGCGATGGTGGTAGGCTTACATAGTAGATTTGCATAAAAATTATCTTGTAAATAAGTTATTTGATGAGTGTTTAATGCCTTATTTGTTTAGCCCCGCTGGCTGGCATGTGAGCGTTTGACGACTCTCGAGGATGTTCATATTGCGTGGTGCCGATCCTTCGTTTTGTGCGTCGACTGGGCGACTCTCTACAAAGAATATAAGGTATTGGATTTAAATAAAGCATACATAGATATTTCGGGTATTGTATTAAAATAGAATATACAAAGATATCTCTATCGAATTGTCCATTGGCATTCTCAATTTCAGGAGCTCAACTCGGACGATCAGTACACCCTGTTGAGGCATCGGATTGTTTCAGTGAATTGGCTCTGTCACACCTATAAAACGTTTAAGGTAGGGGAAAATTAGCATATATTGTTTAGAAGATATTAATTAGCATATATTGATTAGAATATATTGATTAGCATATATATTAATATACCGTAAATACTGTAATTGGACCCCACCGCCCTCGTACAGTCGCGTAGTCGCAAAAGTTTTTTAATATTTCATTTTTTGGTAAAGCACCCGTACTTTCAAAAAAAGCGTCTTTGGTATCAAAAAATAGCCCTGAATTTCAGCTATTTTTTGATACCAAAGCGCGCATTGTAGCATAAACCAGTGTCGAGAAAAACTCGTTCAAAGCTAGACTACGCAACACTTCGCACCGTCATTATGGGGGTAGGGGTACTATTACAGTATTTACGGTAGTATATATTAATTAGCATATATTAATTAGCAAATCTAATATGCTAATTCTCTATTCTTTTTAGAGTGGTGTTGACGGGGTGGCGCTCGTGAATGGAAGCTATTATCCACGAGATAAAGAGCTGCAGAAATCGTTGGATCCGGGGTGAGTGAGTTGATGGATTACTGTAGAAATTGATAGAAAATAGATCGATAATCAATCAAGCAAAGAAATTTCAGTTGTAATCACTACTTCTCGATTCTCTCCGAGCATCTGATGCTGGATCTAGTGTTACCGATGAGAGAACTGAATATGGATGAAGGGGAATTCGTCCTTCTCAAAGCACTTATTCTATTCAGAATTGGTATGTTTTAAAGATTTAAACTCGACAATCAACAAATCGTCGATTAGATCGTCGTCTCTCGATTGAGGGAAAATCGCATGTGGGAATGGTGAGAGATCGGCTCATTGATGCTTTATATCATCACATACAACAAGTGAGTGAGGAAATGGGTGTAAATAACTGATAGCTTATGTAACTCAAGCAGAAAACACTTATTACAATATTTTGATCAATCCAATCAACTCATTTAGGAACATCCCTCGTTTTCTGCCATTCAAATCGCTCAACGTATCTCTCGTCTACTTCTCCTTCTTCCCGCCATCGAGGTAAGAAATTCGAAAAGAAATTCGTTTAAAAAAAATGGATAATACTCTTCAATTATTTATAATATAGATGGATAGATAGATAGATATCAATATCGATAATAAAGCTGACAGACGTCTCGCTTTTTAAGGACAAAACTTTAATGAACGCTGAGCTTTTTCCGCTCAATTTCTCCTAGTTTTCGCTAGTCTAGTGCCTGAATTTCTATTTATTCGAAATCTATTCATTTATCACTTCCTCATTTCAACTGACGTGTCCCCATTACGGTGTTTTCCCCACCACGTTTACACTACTGGACAATGAAATATCATATTTGAAAAAACGATCGTCACTTTCGCGCGTCTGTAACTCCATTGTCTTTACCGTATTTCTAAATATTAATATTACCATTGTGTAGCCCTTGAAAAGAGCTTTCAGAAAATGTATAACACTAATAGTTTAAACTCAAAGACAAGGGAGTTACAGACGCGCGGAAGTGACGATCTTTTTTCAAATATGATATTTCATTGTCCAGTACTGTAGATAGATATCAATATCGATAACAAATTAGCATTACAATCAGATTGATGGATGAATCTAATAGCCTGGTTTAAAGTCATAAAAAAAACCCCAACTTTGAACATTCAGTAATGCTAAAATTTGAGGAAATTTATTTGAGAAATCAAAAGTGATATTTCGATTGAATCCCTTTCAGCACCTTTCTCAACAAGAAGACGATAATGTGCAATTCTTGGCTCTTTTCAACATCGCCAACCTTAACGGACTACCCTATGAATTACACTCGTCAATAAAGCAAATGATATGCAAATCTGATGATAATACACAGGTATTCAGAAATATATTATATATGTCGTAGCCGCTTACGAAATTCAGCCGTTAACGAATGATTCGTTAGCGGCTGAATTTCGTAAGCGGCTACGACATATATATAGAAGCTTTTGACGAGATTCAGCTCAATCAAATTCCAAATTCCAATCGTCTTTTAGGTGAACGAAGTCTCGTCAAATGACCTCAAAGAATGTGCCGATTTCAATTATATTCCGTATCAAACTGAAATGTGATTCTTTTGTCTTTTGTTATTTCAGCCTTATTTTTTGTTGAGATTCTGTTAATTGTATAGTCTATATGTTCGATATTTGATAGTAGGCCTTGACTGCGAAACCCTTCGTTCGAACTAGGGCAGGTCAAAAAAATCGGGCACCACCGGGACTCGAACCCGCTACTTTTCGCCTACCGCACAACTGTGCTAACCGTTATACCACAACCCAGTTGTTTCATCCTAACTTCAGAGGGAGTTAAGTCCTTCTTACAAATGGATAACTGGATATCTTGAGGAGTCTTGAGCAATATGTAAAGATATTCAGTGATGAAGAGGAGGTATTTTAATAGGTAAAGATATTCAATTATATCTTTAATAGGTAAAGATATTCAGTTATAAACAGGGTTCAGAAGAGATTTATTTCACTTTGATTAGATCGTTTTTTAAAAGCTGCCGTAACCCAGCAGGTCTCAAATTTTGACCAGAAGAACCTTAAAATACTTAGCTCTAAGAGATTACAGTGCTTTTTAACACTTTTTGTTAAAGATTGACTTATTAAACAGTTTACAATAGCTTTTTCCCTTTTTCCCTGAAGAACGGTTTTTATTTTCAAAATTTTCCACCTCAAACTGTAGTTATAAATCTTTAAGCTACTAGATACATTGCTATTAGATTTTTATGTTTTCCATCTTTCTTTTCATTCAACTTTTCCAATAGATCTCGTGTAGATTCCCATCTGAAAAAAAATGTAATTTAAATGCTTCCAAAAAAAATTGTTTGTGATTGTATAAAAGAGATTTGTGTGATTGATTGATTTTAGATTAAAATTATATAAATTATTCTTGTGATTACTCTAAAAAAAACTGCTAAAATAAGCTCTCCCCTCAGGAACGGATGCTCATAACCAAAAAAAAAGAAAGAATTTCCCCGATTCGTTGATATTTTTCTCTGTATTTTCCGAAAATAGTTGAAATCTTGTATATTTAATACTTTAAATCCTTTGTGCCCTCATTTCCCTTCAAAATTCGACCGCTCATTGTGATGAAATGATTCGTTGTGTTGATTCTTTTAAAGAAAACTTTTAACTTCATTATTTCTAGAATCTACACAATTCAGAGATCATTTCTAGCTATAACACATCGTGGTTCGTGTAAAAACAATATTTAGGTAATATGGAAAGAATAAAGCACAAATATCAAGACACAAATATTGGGTTGTCCAGTTATGAAAGCGCGTTTTTACTATTTTCTAAATTTCTCAAGATATCGAACAGATGTATATGAGTGTTATATATCATTCGAAAGCTGAAGATCTCCTCTACATTTTGATATAAAAAGCTTTGGAATTTGTTCAGCTTTTGGGCAAATTGATTGCACAAAGGGAGAGGTCGTTTTCGAAAAAAAAAACCCATTCCAGCTTAGCTATTCCTCAAGTTTTATGGTGGAAAATAACCGCCCAGAAAAGTAAAGATGCTCTGAAATTGTTATATTTAAAAAAAAACTTGTATTGATATATCTATTGGCCAAACATCAAACGGTTAACTCAATTTGAGCGGAGCCAAAACTTGATCCAAAGGCACCCTTCCATTTTTTGGCCACCTCTTCTTCTGTGCAGTCAATTTGCCCAAAAGCTCGACAAATTCAAAAGCTTTTTATATCAAAATGTAGAGGAGATCTTCAGCTTTCGAATAATACTCATATATATCTTTTTCTTGATTTCGGTATCTTGAGAAATTTACAGAATAGTAAAAAACGCGCATTCATAACTGGACAACCCAATACATTCACAAATACATATACAAATAAAAGATTTTAATGGAAACCTTTGCCTGAGCTCTCGCCTCCATCGCATCGTTTTCATCAAGCTTCATCCGCGATGAAGGTAGATTTTTCATTGATTTCTCATTCATTGATCATGCCTCCTTCAGCTTCGAGATCCAATTGAATAAGCGGATGATTGCAGTAACTTTTGAAATGAAAACTGTAGCTGTTATTGTGTCCGATTGCCAAAACACTTATCAGATGAAACCACTTAGCCGATTGCTCTCAAAACTTCCACTTCTCTTTTTATATACAATGGATTTTTGGAGGAAAAATCATAAATGAGGATAATCACTGAACTCAATCCATCCAATCCGCTCAAACCAAAAATGCGAATTGTTCGATGGGCTTTATTTTCTAATTTTCCAGAAAGGAGGTGCTTATCTTAAAAATCTCAAAAATATCTCTTCTTTTTCATTCATTGGAGAACTTTCCACCCACACAAAGTAATCACTTTTTGAGGTGAAGAATGGAGAGGATTTTTGTAAGGATGGATTATTCTCTAAGAGATCCCCTCCACCTCTTTTTCCTCCAAAAATCCATTATATATAAAAGGAGAAGTGGAAGTTTTGAAAGGAATCGGCTAAGTGATTTCATCTGATAAGTGTTCTGGCAATCGGACACAATAACAGCTACAGTTTTCATTTCAAAACTTACTGCAATCGTCCGCTTATTCAATTGAAGCTCGAAGCTGAAGGAGGCATGATCTTGGCGAAGTCAATGAAAAATCTACCTTCATCGCGGATGAATCTTGATGAAAACGATGCGATGGAGGCGAGAGCTCAGGCAAAGGTTTCCATTAAAATCTTTTATTTGTAGATGTAATAGGTTGATGCATAAGTCTTTTCGTTTTTTTCGTACTTCTGTTAAAAAGTAACAAATTCACCAATTAATCTATAGTTTGCTCTATAAAAAAAGTGTTTTTTTGTTCAATTTGCATCTTTTTAAATGAATTTCGGTTCACTTTGAAGCAAATTCGAGAGTGAAAAACGCCTTTTTCGTAAAAATCTATAAAAAACTCTACGGAAAAATTGGCTGAATGAATTTCTCTGAAATTTTGGCGAAATATCAAACGTTTTTTTTCTCTATCTTTTATCTATTGACACGAAGATAGGTTTTCTTTAGCTAAGGTGTCTAAACCGCATCATCGAGTTAGCCCTTTTTGACTACCCGACTTCATACTCTCAAGAAAATCCAGGCATAAAATATTTTTAAACCCGTTTTAATGTTATTTTGCAGAAAAATAATTGCTTTTTCTAATGAAATCAACCGTAGTTTAATTGGTGCATTTGTTGGCTTGAAACGGCAGACGAAAAGGAACAAAAACACTTATGCATCAACCTAATATTTGTAGATGTATTTGTGAATGTATTTGTGCCTTGATTGTCTTCTATTTGTGAGTTGAAAACTGCCGGTCTTTGAACTAAAATTTATTCAACATAAAACCATAAATTCATTCGAAATAATTTCCATTATTATTGACGACTTGTGCCCATTTTACAGGCAATTTGCGGATTCCTCTTTCGTAGTAGGATTTTGGTTTTGAATCGAAAAACTTTCAAAGCCAATTTTTGACTGCTTCTTCCGGATCGAAGTGTTCTCCTGAAAGCCGATTACTCATGCTCCGGAATAAATAGTAATCAGAAGGGGCGAGGTCCGGACTGTATGGGGATGCGCCAAAAGCTCCCAACTAAGGCTGTTTATTTTAGAGCTAGTCAGTTTTGCAAAATGTTATTAGTTATTGTTTAGATAAAAAGTAAATTCTCTAACAGATTTCCTCTTTTATTGGGTTGGTGAAAACTGCCGGTCTTTGAACTAAAATTTATTCAACATAAAACCATAAATTGATTCCAAATAAATTCCATTATTATTGACGACTTCTGCCCATTTTACAGGCAATTTGCGGCTTGTGTGTGAGACAAGTGTGAGACTCAAAAATCGAGGACTGGAGATCTCCAATGTCCCAGTTTGAGCACTTTCTTCAAAAGAAACCCATTTTGGTGTCAATAGAAAAGCTGTAGAGAATCAAAATTAGGCTTATAGCCAAATTTCCAAAAAGATACACGTAGTAGTTTCGCTTAAAATGCAAGTTTTGTGAAAATTCGTAAATTTGGCATTTCTTGAAAATCAGTTTTTGAATCGTTCTGAAAATTTGGATATAAGCTTCATTTTTGATTCTCTACAACTTTTCCATTGACACCAAAATGGGTTTCTTTTGAAGAAAGTCCTCAAACTGTCACATATGACAATAGCCCGCAGTTTTCAATTCACCAGCCCAATATTTCAGAATCTCTAACCTGAACCACCAAATATCAAGATGCTCTTTTATGAGTTTTTTTCTAATAAAAACTGAGGTGATAATCAGCTTTTGAATGAAGGTTATCTGGAGTAGAAAAATCTATTTCAAGGAAAGTCAATTTTTGTGAGTATTCCAAAAGAAATACAGTACCGAGCAAAAGTCTTGCAACATCACTTTTTCAAAAAAATCGATGAAATTTTTTTATAGAAAATGCCACCCGTTCGTAAAGCTTTTTTGTTTTTAATTAGAATAATATATGTACACTTTATTTACAAAAACAAATTTGAAGTTCAGCGTAAAACAAAAAAGTAAATGACAAAACTACTAAAAAATACCCTAAAAACTGGGTGCAAAAGTCTTGCAACATTTTATGTTTCTCATTTTTATTGTTTTCAAATTTATTAATTTACACTAATTTTTGTTTTTTTCAGATGCCAGGTACCTACTTGACGACTCCCGAAAGAGAAAAAATCATGAAAGCAAGAAAAAAAGGAATTTCTCGAGCCGTTGTCTGCGATCTCTTCAAATGCGATCCTTCGACCGTTTCTCGCATTGTTTCAAAAGCAAAAACAACTGGACTTATGCACCGAAGAAAGAAGAAAGGACGGCCAAGAAGAACAACAGCAAAAGAGGATCGAATACTTGTGATGGCTTCCAAGAAGGATCCGAACATGACATCAACTGAGGGAGCTCGGCTGATCAAGGATGTTGCAAACAAGGATATCTCTCGATGGACCGTTTCTCGACGATTGACTCAAGCAGGACTGTATAGCCGGCGGGCTGTACGAAAGCCTTTGATGACCGCTGGCCATAGGAAACAACGGCTTCTATTCGCCAGGACGTACCAAAGTTGGACAAAGCAGGATTGGGCCAACGTGATTTTTGTCGATGAAACAAAAGTGGATATCTTTTCTCCAAAAGGCAACCACTTGATCAGACGACCCATTGGAAAGCGAATACTCCTTAAATATGTGCGACCTACAATGCGAGCTGGCGGAGGATCAATCATGTGTTTTGGTAAGCCTTATTTCTAATACATGCATTAATTTGTCTTTTTCTAGGGGCGATGACAAAAAATGTGGCAGGTCCGCTCGTCCTCGTCCAGTCAACCATGAATGCTCGCCAGTATATGGAAATACTAGAAGGATGTCTACTTCCATTTGCTCAGGATCACATGGCTCCTGAATGGTTTCTCTACCAGGACAACTCGCCGGTCCACAAGAGCAAGCTCATGATGGGTCGCACCGTGAATCTCTCAAATGGAGGAAAAGCTCATCTCCCTGGATGGTTTGCCCTTAATAATGTTTTGTTAGTCAAAGTGCCCCCTATGTCGCCTGATTTAAACGTTATTGAGAATTTATGGGCTTACGTGAAGGCAAAGTTACGAGGAAAAGACTTTCACACAAAAGTTGACTTATGGTTCTACATACGAAAAGTTTGGAGCTCAATTCGCCCAGCAATTCTTCACGAATTAGTCGACTCAATGCCTAAACGACTTAATGAAGTGATTTTGGCAAAAGGTGGACCGATTGAATATTAATTTTTGATGTTTCTGTAAAATGTTGCAAGACTTTTGCACCCAGTTTTTAGGGTATTTTTTAGTAGTTTTGTCATTTACTTTTTTGTTTTACGCTGAACTTCAAATTTGTTTTTGTAAATAAAGTGTACATATATTATTCTAATTAAAAACAAAAAAGCTTTACGAACGGGTGGCATTTTCTATAAAAAAATTTCATCGATTTTTTTGAAAAAGTGATGTTGCAAGACTTTTGCTCGGTACTGTAAAAGGTTTTTAGACTTGAAATTGTTTGCAAAATACAGTAGGCATAATCATTCGCTTGAAATTTTAAACAAATACTTTTGTTTCAGACGCTCTTTTAGATAGACAAATATATTCAATGTTGTTTTGATCAATTCCGAGTCAAAAAGAACATGAACTCGGAAAACATGAAATTTGACTCGATACTGAAGTTGAATCATTCCTTCCATCAAAACTTGCCAAAATAAAAAATTATGCCGTTGTTTTTAGTTTAATGATATGGCTCTTTAATTTTAACCATACAAAAGTTTGGTAGCTGCTTTTGTTGAAAAATTTTGGTGGAGCGAATAGACTTTCTGGATAGCCTAATAGAAGAGTGCCTAGCTACGTTATCTGTTTATCTTTTTTAAAATTTTAGCTTTCTAAACGTCAGCTTGCTACCATTCAGTCATTTAATAGTCCGGTCTTAAGACTTTAATGTACTGTTTTCAAAAAGAAAAAGGGAATACGGTATCTTTTTCAGAAAGGCCACAATTGGACTCTATACAGATTGACTCGTTGTCATATAATATTTCAAAGTCAGCTAGAGTATGGTAGCTTTTTCTGAGCCACATTTTAGCGCTTTAATCAAGAGGAGCTCACTCACAGAGCACGATGAGATTCCGCAGCCGTTCTGCCTTGTTTAAAATCATTACCCGTACAACAAGCAAACCCGCACTCGAAATTTTTTGTCAACCATTTTCTAGAAGCTAAAAATTACTTCAAATTAAGTAAAATGCATGAGTCTTAGATGTCAAAAGACGCGCAAAGAGACGCTCTTTCAGATAGACAAATATATTCAATAAAAAATTTTATTAGGTTCAAAATATAAACCAAAAAAAGTGTGACGGAAGTTTCATCTGCACCAACCTAATGAAAAGCATTTTGCTAACAAGCATTTTTGCATTTTGCTAACAAGCATTTTGCTTCGTTCTGCTGACTTACTCCGGAGAATTCTAGTTCAATGGTCTTCTGGAAAGCTAAGATTAGTAAAACTTTCGTCAAATTTAGTCATCTTGCTAATTCTTGTCAACTTCTTTCATTTCCTGATTGCTAATGCTTACTTCTTTTCAATTTCAATCATTCCACCAAAAATGACATTTGAATTTCCCAACTCTTGCATCCATTTATTAATGAAATTTTTGTTTAGTGAAATTTTAGGAGATTTCCCACTCAATCCAGGTGTTTGCTGGCTATAAGCTGTACTCAGCAACCCGAAAAGTTCTCTTTATTCTTTTCGATAAAATTTTTTTATCCTGAATGTGTGATCAAATCTTTCAAATGGGTAAGATGGAGGGGTTTCCTTTGAAGAAAAGGGTTTAGCCCTGTAATCTGAACAGTAAGCGGATGAGGGAAGAGAGAAAAGGACTTCTTCTCCTCCTCCCTCCCTTCATCCCTCCCCACCACTGAATATCTCCATCTCAAGGCTCCTTTTTCATTTTCCTTTATGCTAATTTTCTTTGAATCCCATTTGAGACTAGACTTTGAATCCCATCTGAGACTTATCTAGCTTTGAGTTTGAGCAACAGGCTTGACCTGTTGCTCGAGTTGATCCCTGTTCAGTTCTAGAATCGTTTATTTTCAAATCTCATCCACATTCGGTGTTTAATAGGTTCTTTTTTAAATAAATTGTGTCTTTTTTCAATAATCAACTTATCTTTTCTAGATGGTCGAAGATCTCATCTACGAATTCTTGCCGGTGATCGGCTTTGGCATGTGTGCGTCATCGATTTTCGTATTGATTGTGATGCGAGGATCGAAAGATGCTTTCAAGTTTCTCCAATTTTTCGCATTTGTCGGTGAGTTTCTTTTTTTGTTCTTGATTTACCAATTAAATGACTAATTTCATAAGGAAGGTCAAAATATGATGATATTTAACCCATTTGCCATTTGAAAACGACTTATTTGCCTGATTAAATGAGAAATTGACTTGTTTAGCTCAAATTCTCATCATTTTCGGGATTTACACCCACAGTTTTTTTTTAGTTTTTAGTGAATATCTCATCAAAGTCAGCTTTTCAAATTTCAGATTTAATCTCCGGAATCACGATGATTTTCGCGGGTTTTCATGGCGTCATTCACACAATTTATGGAGCGGCGGGAGAGGTGAGGGGAATCGAAATCGGGAATGAAATAAACAGTAGCTTGTCGGTTTCGGTACTTGTGAATCTGTTGCACGCATATTGTTTTGAAAATTTGCATATACGTAGGCGACGGTAATATGCGACGTAGGCGCCTAAGCTTAAACCGTAGGCGACGGTAATCTGCGTGCAACAGATTCGCCGTAGGCGACGCCCGTGCTAGCTCGTGATGCGTGGCCGGGAAGTGACCTGCGTCACAGCGTGTTTTTTTAATGGGGCCGAAAACTACGTGACGCGCAGAGAACGCACAGAAAAAGGCAGAGCTATGGCCTACTTGTGTATTTGTTGCACGCAACTACTTAGAAGGCACAGAAAAAAGTTTTCAAAACAAATGCTAATTGGGTAATATGCGTGCAACAGATTCACAAGTACCTCGGTTAGCGCAAAATACGAAAACGTGGCTCTTTCTTCAGATGATTCAACCGTGGCAATGCATGGGCAGTGGCTGGCATCTCCCGATGTGGATTTTCACGGATGCTCTCCATTTATCACTCATGTTTTGTTTCACTCTTGATCGACTATTTCTCATCATTGTCCCCATTCAATATTTAAAAGTTTGTGTTTTCTGAAATAACAACCTACAGTACACTTTTTTCAGATAGCAAACTTTTATCTACACAAGCGTTTGTTAATCGTTCCATTTGCCGGTTCACTCGCCTATTTGTACCCAGTTTTTCAGGTAAAGTAAGCTTTAATATCTCATAAGAATATATTAAGTTAGTAAATGTTTTAACAATAGTTTTAACAATAACAATAACAATAACAATATCATCTACCAGTTTTAACAATGTGCTTTTAGGATGCAAGCGCAAACAGTGACAACAAAACGCTATCGATCTCTTCGCTTTGTCATCTAGAGGAAGTGATCGGAGAAGAGACGTACACTCTGCACACCGTTTTATTGCAGTTTATTCCTATTGGATGTGAGTGATCGACTCGAATTATTGATTTCAAATGAAAGAATAGCTTAAAAATAAATCTAGTTTAGCTAAAGAAGTCTAAGCTCTTCTACTTTCCAGTGCCATTTGATTTTATTCCAATCAAAGCTTTTCAGGTGTTCTCGGCTGCTTTCTGATCCTTCTCATTTATATGATTCGTCATTTGAAACAACGATGGTCTTACAATTGGTCCGAGGCGACCGATATCACTAAACAGGTCGGCAAGTTGGGTTACGATAGTTCTCTTCGCTTTGTACCCATAGAAACCAAAGATTTCAGTTATTGTTGGTCCTATCAGTTCGTTGTTTCCTTTTCGGTGTCTCGGTGCATCTTCCACTTCTTTTTATTCACAAAGGATCAACCGCTGAAATGGCCATTCTTCGAGATTTTTTTATCAGGTTTAATAAATTGTTAAAATCACCAAAACCATTTTGCATTTTCCAGAATTTGTTTGGCTATTTGTGTGACGATTGCTTCCCCGATTCTCTTATCGAGTCTTTGCCCACAATTCTCACATAATGTCTACATGCTTTTCAACAAATACTCGCATAACACGAAGAGGCAATGGCAAAGTGCAAGTGAGTGAGAGAAATCTGAAGTTCTAGTAAAGTTAGTGCCAAATAGAAACCACTATTGAGTATTTTGATACAGTCCCTTGATCATCTTTTTACAGGTGATCCACCAAAAGGTGAGGCCTTGGATCACGAAGAAGGTGACCATCCCGGAAAAGATGAATTCGCTGATGCGGCGGTAAGTTTTGAAAAACGATTGAAGCTTTAGGAAGAAAACTCAAAATTCTCTTTCTCAAGTTCAAAGAAGCTCACTTTCCAGGTGAACATGTTCGGCTCGTTTTATTCGGCAACCGGCGCACCGATGGGATTGGGTGAAACGGGTGGAAACAATCATGTCGATCGAGCCAATCATGAACGATCAATCTCTTTCTATTATCAGGATAGTCCAAAAAGTACTACGAGTAAAAAATGTCGACCTGCTTAAGAAAACTAGCCTTGTCACATTTGTTTTATAAAATATGTGCCTACCAAAGTGAATACGCTTTTCTTGTAATGTCATGAGATTAGAAATCGTATTGCTGTTAATGCTTTGCAAATTTATGATATTTGTATTCAATACGTTGCATTTGTACGCATTTACACATATTTTGTGTCATCTCACTAACCCCATTGTCATTTACCTATCCAATAAAGCTCGGATCAAATGTTAACACTTTTATCTATTTGACAATAGAAAGCACAAGTTTTAAAGAGAGAATATCAAAACCGTTAAGGTTAAGGCACAAGATCATGCGGCTCTAATGTAAGAAGATCAAAATAAAGAAATGTGGAAAAAAAATCTATTAATGTGGCTACAATTTTCAAGTGAAAAGGGGAGACAATTGGCGACGTTTAAAAAGAGCACAGTTTAAATAAAACGGAAATGAAAGACGAAATTTAGATTTTGATCAGTAGATGCTAATCGAAAAATTTCCTGAGACTAGTAGAATATGGGTACACGTCATTTGATTAGATTGTCGTTTGAGCACTTTGCGTTTTTGCTGATGATAACAGTGTTTCTAATCGATCCAACCTATATTTAAATCTAATACAATTATATTTTAGAAAACTAACTTGGACAGCAAGTTCCTCACAACACGGTTGACAGTTGAATGAAGACCACCAGTTAAAGCTTCACCAGATTGGTTGAGATCATCTTTTGTTTCCAGGCAGGGCACGGGTCTAATGCTAGAGACCTAAATAATCAACTATTGATTTTAATTACAAAATATCCGAGATAATTAAAAAGTTAAATACGTACGGGAATATGGGGCTCAATTCGAGGCCGCTCTATCCGCAAAGGTTCAACGGTGGCACATGGACGAACAATACCGAGTTCTTTTCTAAAATATGAAAGTTAGTACAACTATCTAAAAATTATAACAGCTTTTGTTTAATTAACTTTGAGCTCGAGCAAACAGCTTCCCCATTCTTGTTTTAAAGATCTTGTCGAATTTGTTTTGATTCAATTAATAAAGTTAAAAGAATAAGCTTACTTCAGTCGGTAATACTCATCCGCGGTCGCAGACATTTCGGCGAGTTCTGTTTCAAGCATGATTTGGCGCTCGGTTCGATCATTCAACTCCTTCTCAATATCCTGAATACAAAATCTTGTTAATCGAAAATAAACGCTAGCTAACCTGAAGTGTTTGTTGATTTATCCGTTCGCCTCTTTCAAGAATGTCATTTTGTTGCTCCAATTGTACGACTTTTGAGCGGAGAACGGCGTTTTCATTCGTCAGTTCAGCAATCTAAAAGATTTAAAGATGAGAATAAAAAATAAATGACGCACTCGTCGCTTGAATTTTTCCTCATCTTTGAACCATTCTTTCTTCTCATTTTGAACTCGCTCCTAAAACCAAAAATATTTTAAATGCCTCGTTTACTATGTTCAATGCTAAATTTCTCTAATATACCTTCCAAATTTTAGAAGCAGGTCTAAATAAAATAAAGAGCTTATTAAAATACCCAAGAATGCGATTATAGTCAAGTATTTAAATGTGACCACCTGTGCATTCTCCTGCAACATCTTCAACCGCTGATTTTCTCCTCGTAGAAGATTTGCTTCTTTCTGTAGTTCCCCAATTTCAGCATCTTGCATGAGTTCAATCTAAAACAAACCTTTTAAACAAAAAATTTTCAACACGTTTACCTCTTTCGAAGATGACCGAAACTCGTCAAACTCCTCGACCCGTTCATCATAAAGAATCTAAATATCTCACATGAATTCACAAAAAAAAATGACTACTATTAGTACTTAAAAGAATTTAAGGAAATGTGTATAGCCTAATAAAAAAGTATACCTTTAAATGAAGAATCTTCTCGATCAGCTTTTCTGGCGGCAATAGTAGAAGGGCGTCTCGGCCTAGTCCGGCATCATTTTCATTGCTTTTGACCATCGTAAGCGAGCTTTGAAAAAAACATAATAACGACAAAGCTATGAAAAGGCATAGCAAAACAAATAAAGGAAAAGGAAAATTGACTTAAATGAAGTAAAATGATGATGATGATGATGATGATGATTCACAGCGTGATCAAGGTTTAAAATCTCTAGTAACTGACGTTTAGAAATTGTTTGAATGAAACTAGAAATGAAAACGATACGGAGGAGAATCGGCTGTCAAATTCGAGAAGTCCAAAGGGTTTCAACGAAGAATCGAAAGAGAGCGCTTTCAAACAAAGAACGAAGACGCCGCTTGGGGGAAGATGGAAGGGTGATGAGAGAAAAGGAAAGGAAAGAAAAGGCAAAGAGAAGGACCGCATCGATCGCGAAAATGACTGACATTGAAAAGAGAAAAAGGAGAGAAGGCAAAAAGAGAAGGAGGAAATGAGAGACAACAGAGAATCCCCTTCTGTTAACACTATCCACACACATACACTCACGCCGATTACGAAATTGATCATATGGAGTTGGGGGAAAAGAGGATTTTCTCGAGAGGGTGAGCACTTCGATGATCGCGGTTGAGGCAGACCGGAGTTGTTTACAAACAAGAGTGCTTGAAAAGAAAAGTAACACTGAAAGTTTCAAAAGCGAGCGAGAAAGTGATATTCAAGAGAGAATATTTAATTACATTTTCATAAAGGTCAAGATATTCAGGTGATTCATTGAATATCATTAAAATTGTCTTTAAAACTTAAAACCAGAAAATTTGGTAAACTCTCCACAATTCTAAAGCCTATTTGCACTGTCGGTTTTTTCATGATATGCACCGGGGTTATTGGTTCAGATGTGCGTGAAGTTTCGCTTTTTGCGAGCATAAAAATTCTGCATTCACAGCGGCAAGTCACCTCTGACCGTGGGTTTATTTTGTGAATTTGAAATTGATAGAATTCATGTGTAATTCGATATTTGAACTGACTTTTGAGGGAAAATAATGCACAATTGGATGAGGTAGAGAAAAGTGATCATTTCTCATCCTTTCATCAAATAGCAAACTGAAGAACTTAACTACTGAAACTGAAACTGAAAGTTCAATAAACTTGCTAACTCTATAACGTCTCCATAGTGTCCAGAAAACTTGTAATCAAGAATTTTTGCATTTGCATTAGCAGCGTAAAAAAAACTTTATTTCGTCAGAAAATACATAAACATTTTCTCCAAAAGGAAAACCCGTCACCAAAAAGCTCATATGATTTGATTTCATAAAAAAGTTGGCAATATTTTAAGGCAAGAGATCCGATATTCGAATTGAAAGGAAATGGTGATACGCACAGTGTTGTGGTTTGGCAATGATAATGGCAATGGTAATTGAATGATTCCGAGACTAGACTGGATAAAAGAATGGAGATCCTAGAAATGGTGAAAGACTTCAGAAAATGAATGAGTGGCAGAAAATGAATTTTGGAAAGATCTTGGTGGGGGGAAAGTAGACTTGCTTATACCGTAGTCATTCCAGTAAAGGTTTAGCCTGTAGGTCTGATACTGTATCAATCTATGACATTGTCTAGGTTTGAACCAGAACAATGAGTTTGGTATTGATCTAGATTGAGTCTGCTAGTCACTACCTAGTACTAACAATCAAACGATCTGATATCAGACAAAAAAAACCTCTGCTACAACGACTCTCACTGCTCTCCAGCTTCGGTGCCAAATTTTCAAAAGTTGAATCAGAAATGGAAACTCTAGAGCTAGTTCGTAGATTTCTATTGAAACAAATAATTTGCAAGGATTAGGTAAATGCCAGTGTGTGTGTGTTTTAAGGACTCCTATACGAAATGCGTTCTTGTCGGAATTGGGGCCAATGGCGGTGGTAGTGATCCCTCACTCCACGAGTTTTTTCTTGTCAAATTCCCAATTGGACCCGCATTTGCATTCAGATCGTGATCTCCCGTTTCACTTCCCTCCACCTAGAATCAATGAGTTCGAAAACCATAAGACCTTTTGACCAAAAGCTTATAAATCGCTTGTTTGTTTTATAATCCGAAATCTCAAACTTTCATCTAACCTCTAACAGAAATTTCCAAAAAAGCCTATTAGCTTTTCGTTTACCTTTTCCTCGAGAACCGGTCTCCCTGAACGGCGAAGAAAAATTTGCCAAAGAGACTGTGTGACCTAAAAAAGAGAAAGACATTAGGAAGGAAAAGGAAAAACCTTAGAGCAGAAAAGATTTCCCGCATGGTTGGCGATCATGTGCAAAAGGAAAACACCGTCCGGTCGAAGGAAACGATCTGAATAGAGAAGAGATTTGATTTATTTACCGAGCTGTCAGACAAGAACTAGACCTTAATGGGGTAACAGTACAATTGTTTAGATCATTGCACCAACCTGTAAACCTTCCCAACTGATCGCTTTCCATGTCCAAATGTTTTGCGACAAACGATTGACGAAGACTGAATAGTGTACTTGTTTTAAAAAAAGCCGTTATTTTCTGAATACCTTGATGTCGACAAAGCAAATAACCAAAAAAGAAGGTTGACAGCGGTGAGAAAAGCCAACACAGCTAGCCAAACCCATAAAAAGACAAAGATTTTCTCTGTGAACATGTTGATTACCTGAAATGGATTGTAGAATGCATATTTGAGTAATATAAAGTGCATTTACTTACAAGAACACATTGCACGGTGTGTCGATGGACATTGCCGAGTACTCGGATCTCGAAATCACACAAGGTGACTCGCGGGAATTTTCCCGAATCTCGCCACTCTCGACCCTGACGATTTATCAAAGATGATTTATCAAAATGAAAATCGTTTCATTACGATATTTAATATGAAAAGAGATGTCAAAATATTAAAAGAGATGCCTAGAAAGCATTGGCAAAATGGGTACTGTATTGCTTAGTCTGTAGACTTGGGCTTTATAGCTTTAAACTTGATGCAGAGATAAGAAAATAAAGATTAAATTGATCAGTATCAAGGTTCCAGTTTGAGCATACTCAGAAGATCATGAAAGATGAAAAAAACATACTAACCATGAAAAGATCGTACAAAACGTGAGCACCAAAAAGTGGATAATCGGATGTGCCGAGGAACGCGTTCAGCAAAACGAATTGAATGCCCACATTGATCAAATGAAGACTCTAAAGGGAACTTTGAAAGAAATAGAAACGAAAAGTAACGACTTTTATAAAAATATAGCACGAAGACACGTAGGCTCCGTAAAATTTCCCGACTCTAACCACGGCAAAGATGTAGATGTTCTTTCGGCGGCTGCCTAAAGGATTTTATGGTTTTGGGTTTAAAATCCTCGAAAACAGACCGTGATCCCTTTGATACATGAGCGCATCATCGATATGTCTAGCCACAATTCCCACTGCCTGATCTCGATGTGTTGGATCGACATTTTGATCTTGGCACGCCAATTGAAGAACCAAGCCAGCATTCAGGCCTAAAGTTTGATTATTTTAATTTGAGATATTTGTTTTTGAATTTGAAGCGTCAAAGGAATTTGTTTTAACTTGCCTGATTGTGGTGCTAGTAATCGCCAAACTGATGACGGTATGTGAAACATCAATGCCGCCAACGCCAATACGAATGGAACCCATTGATAGTAGCCTACAATATCCTAATTATTATTCTTAACACATCTAAAGTACTGGTACCCAATGCACAAAGTACTTAGTTGTACTTGATTGGTTATCTCTAGTGCTTGAACCTTGCAGTTGTTTTTGTACAGTAAACGTCGTGCTTGCTTTTGAGAGTGTAAAGTAACTCTGCCACTCGCTTTGGTGCAATGAATGCATTGGAAATCTGTCTCAGCCTCTCACCAATTCCAACCAAATATTATATCCGAACAATCACCCCGAACACCATTTCCCCAAATTTACATTGAGATCCATTTGAGTTCTCTCCCTCTTCAAAAGGAGTTAGAGTGCCTCTCCCCTCACCGGTTCCCCCCTTTCCCCCATTGATTCCCCAGGGTCATACCAAGTCGGTACCCCTCTTTTTCCCGTTTTCTTCAAAAAAAAACTCCCAACACAAAGTCGTTCGTTTTTCTGTTTCTACCATTTTTCTTCGAGTTCCTTTTCACGACTTAACGGAGCAAAGGGCCAGGCTTTGCACACTCTTCTCTCTTAAAACTTTAAATGATCATGCACAGAGTTCAACGGGGTATCTTTTCAGCAATATCTATGAGATAGAAGAAGGCTCTTTGAAACTGATGTATTGCGATGATGAGCTGATGTAGCAGACACTGCTCTTTTAGATATTGATCTCCCTCAAAAACCCGCCTATCTGTCGTCGTTCCCGATCGTCGAGTCGATGCGGGATGTGATCCTGAAAATAACAAATAACATTGTGCATGAGAATTGGGTATTCAATGTCTACTTATTGCATAATTCCTCCAGCTTTCACTGGATCTTTACCACCGTACAGCTATAAATTCCCTGTTTTATACCCCGTGATCCATTCATCCCTTCCCCATCACTTCTCTACTTCAAACCAATGAATTTTTTTTAGCATAACTCGGAGAGTTTTCGCTGACATTTGCTCTGTCCTCAAGCAGAACACTTTTGGAAAGAAAAGCAAGGAAAAAAAGAGTTCATTCAAAAAGAAGATGCGTAAAATTTGATGGCCCACCCGGGAATCCATCGACCTCCCCAGTCTCCCCTCATCTTTCATCTATCCTTTCCATAAGTTCTCTTTGGAAAAGATCTAGAGAAGATCATAAAGGAAAAACACTAACCACACAAGTGGTGCAGGGTGCGGCATATATAATGTTCCGCTCTACAAAAGGATGTTTTTCTCAAAAACCAAAAGAGTTGGCAGTTTTCGCGTTTAGATATTTCAAATCTACAGTCACTATTTCATGAGTTAGTGTAAAAATTTAAAACTTCATTCGTTTCATATAAGACTTTAAACGTGAGTCGAAAAAATGAAATTTTTCAAAAATATGCCCATTTTTGTTAGCCAAGATCAGCTCGCATTCAGGCATCAGGCTCAGAAAAAGCTACCATACTCTAGCTGACTTTGAAATATTATAAGACAACGAGTCAATCTGTATAGAGTCCAATTGTGGCCTTTCTGAAAAAGATACCGTATTCCGTTTTTCTTTTTGAAAACAGTACATTAAAGTCTTAAGACCGGACTATTAAATGACTGAATGGTAACAAGCTGACGTTTAGAAAGCTAAAATTTTAAAAAAGATAAACAGATAACGTAGCTAGGCACTCTTCTATTAGGCTATCCAGAAAGTCTATTCGCTCCACCAAAAATGAAGCTCAAAAAGCTTTACTTTTATAGTAATTTACTCTAAAAACGTATTAATTCAGAAAAAGACGGAAAAGATGATTTTTTAGGGATCCCAAACTAGAATTTAACTGTTTTTCAGCATCTAGCTTTAGCTTTTTTGGACTGCTCGTTTGGCGTTTTGTCGAGGGTGAGACTCGAACTTGAGAGCAAGAAATGTAGTGGAAAATGTAGTAGGTTTGGTAGTCTATCCACTAAGCACAGTCTACACACAGCACAGTCTACAAACAGTCTATCTAGCAGACTATTCCCTAGACCACTGAATCAGTTGTTTGGAAGGCGTCTGATGGCCTCATAAGGGCCTCATATATGATTAGGTTCTTTTAACTCTTTGACACAAAATATTATATTGGCTGATAGCTTTATCAGAGTGCGTACTTGCAGAGTAAGCTCAACTTCTAGTTATTGTAAAAGAAAGCAAAGCCTCTGCAAGCTACATAAGAATAAAACCGAATCAAGCAACAAAAGTCATAACAATAGTAGATAGTAGCAGTAATAAACATTGTAGATTATCCCAAAAATCACTCATTTTATCACAATCATTCTTAACCTTATTTCCCTTTGTGTCCCTTCTAAATCCTTTTCTTCCCATTCTTTCTCATCCTTTTGTTGATCCCTTCACCTAATTTCCATCGAATGTTCTTTCTTTTTCATTTCTTTTTCATTTCTTTTTTCTAAAAGATGGATATGTCTCATTTTTCATCGAAATTTGGGCTTTTCTCCAATTCTGCAATTAGACAATGAAACAAGATGGAGTCACTTTTTCTCGTTTTCTTGTTTCGAATAGAATGTGAAAGATAAAGAAAGTCTAGTTGAAAAAACGAAAAGATAAGAAAGGATTTGGGTAATGATTTTGTTTATCTTGAAAGCTGATGATCTTTTGGTTCCTGATCTCTTTGAATTTGGCTCCTGATCTCTTTGAATTTGGCTCCTTATCTCTCTAAATTTGGCTCCTTATCTCTCTCTAAATTTGGCTCCTTATCTCTCTCTAAATTTGGTTCCTTATCTCTCTAAATTCAGCAGAATTAATTTGATAAGCTTCTTGATTGATATTTTGATAAGATTGATTGATATGTCTAAATGAGAGTTTGATATCAGTAACATTTTCATTGCTATCAATATCAATCAATCATTTTTGACTAAACCAGTGAAAATTTAAATTTTAGATTACCTTTCTTGCCTTTTCTTTGAATGCCAAGGAAAAAAGTTTGCAGATTAAATAAGAGATGATACTTTTATGGTGTTTTAATTGATAAGATATGACTAGTTTTATTACACTAATAATACCAAAAGTTAACATTAAAGAAATACTCCCAACTAGAATAATTCCCCGCACTCCTCTTTAGTTTATATGTTTTTTCGAAAAGCTCAAAGCTATTCTTTCAAAGAAATCCCACTTTTTCAACAGGAAAACTCTTCTCGATTTCGTGTAAACAACGAGCAAATTATTGTTCTCTTTCTTCCGCTTTTTCTGCCTTCTTTGCTCAAAAAAAGATTACTCTAATTGAGCAATTATTTGCCGATTTAAAAAAGAAAAATAATTCTCCACCGGAATAGTAATAGTCAATAAATATCGACCATGTGTTTCATTCTCTCCCCAAAAAAAAATGGATAAAACTCAATGAAAAGGGAAAAAGGTTTCATAAAGAAGCCAATAAAAGTGAGGAGAGTTTGGATGGAAAGGACAAAAAAAGACATCTCATGCTTATGAAATGAGATAAAAACTTAAGGATATGAGGAAAAAGAAAGGGAAGGTTTCAGGCTCGATTTGTCAAAGGATAAGCAATATTGAAAACTTAAGGGTTTCAATTTGATTAGCATGTTTCTGCAGTTCTCAAAGAACAAGGATTTGTGGTTAACAACGTGTACAACCAGAAACTATCTTATTTAGCCAGTAAGGGTAACGAATAAACGAATAACGAATAAAAGAAACGAACGAAGTAACGGTGTTCTCCGCAACCAATTAGTTAATCGATTAAAGTTGAACAATTGAAATTTTAATCGATTAATCGTTGATTGAGTTTTTTAAAACACACTCTCGCATTGGTCAGCTAGTCAGCTAAGGTGAATCAAGGTATATACCGTAAATACTGTAATAGTACCCCACCCCCATAATGACGGTGCAGAGTGTTGCGTAGTCTAGCTTTGAACGAGTTTTTCTCGACACTGGTTTATGCTACAATGCGCGCTTAGGTATCAAAAAATAGCTGAAATTCAGAGCTATTTTTTCATACCAAAGGCACATTTTTTGAAAGTACGGGCGCTTTGAAAAAAATGAAATACTAAAAACATTTGCGACTACGCGACTGTACGAGAGGGGTGGGGTACTATTACAGTATTTATCGTAGCTACTAGGTCGTAGGTTGTAGCAAAATTTGACGCTTAAAAAAGCCTAAGCCTAAGCCTAAAGTTAACCGCAACGCTTAGATCTGTGGGAGATATGAGAAATTTTGAAATGAAACCAAATCCCTTACAGAGCCATTTGTCTTGAGTCAATTTTAGCTTACAAATATAGCTACTATACTCTGATTAGTTTAAGCTCCATCTCATAGTCATCCTAAGCCTTAACTCTATCTCATAGTCAATCTTTAGCATTTTTTTCAAAAACTTACTAGTGCAATGTCCATACATTTAAACTGTTTCCCCATTTCTCTTTTCCAGAGTGAGCTTCCTAATTTTTTTGAAGACAAATTCGAAAAGACACATTCACATACACATAACACAAAAGAGATAGAGGAGGGAAACAGAAAAGATAAGAAAAGATGAGAAAGAGAGAGCGTAATGTATGGAGCAGACTCATGCACACACACACACCACACCATGTTCTCATAGATGAAAAGAAAAGAGAAGAAAAGTGATATGGAAAAGGGACAAGTGATCTCCTCATTTTGTGTGTTACACCCGATGGCCACCTGGACACCTGGGACCCCGTTTCTTCATTCTAAAAAACATCCTGTAGTCGATGGCTGGGGGGAAAGCGGGTGATCCAACTACTGATTGACGCAAATCCTTTCCAAAAAACGTGTTAACCAAATGACTCTTCTTTGCACTATGTGGGATAGGAAAGAGGAAAAGATATGATGATTAATATGGGACACTTGAGAGGGAAACTTAGGAAGAGTTAATAGGGAAACTCTATGGAATTTTGGAAAGCAGTAGAATAATGAAAATTGAGCATTACAATGGGCAAGCTGTTTTTTTGTTTCCGTTTTTGCTTTCCGATTGTCAATAGGTGGATGACGAAGCTTTGTTTAAAACAAATTTTAAACTTTTTAAGCTTAAAAATCAAAAAAACAATCTTATGTTTGCTCGCCAAACTCTGCGAGTTTTTACTCGCTATAAACATAATATCATTTTTCTCATAAGCTTTTCCGATATGATGTATTGTCCACCAAATTTTGAGGTTGGACAATTTATTCCAAAAACCAAAAGCAGACTTCTGATACAAAACCAAATCAAATGTTGTATTGGGTTGGGGAGAATGAGTCGGCGCCAAACTTTAAAGGGACTTTTTGCACACATAAAGCCTTCTTTAAACATACGTTTGGTTTCATCAAAAGGATCCACTATTTCTCTACAAAATGACTTTTGAGAGATTCCACAAAGCTTTTCTTTCGTGGAGTTTATGAACTTCCAAACGCAGCTGGTTAAAATGGCAAAGAGTCCGACTCATCATTTGAACAGTTTCTTTCACATAAACCTTCTTTGGTGTTTATATAAAAAAGATAGAGCACGTTCAATTACTTAAGTTGCCAAATTTGCAGGAAGATCCCACCAATGGTTTTTTCTAGATCACAGTTTGTAGTTTTTGTGAAAAAATGGCTTTTTCTTGAGCGGAGGCGCTGTTTGAATTTTCTTTTAAATGTCATTTTGTAGAGAATTAGTTAACCATTCTACTGATATCAAACGCATATTATTTGACGAAGTCGAATAGAAGTTTTACACATTTTTTTCATTTTCGGCGCCGACTCATTCTCCCCAACCCAATAGTTTATTGCAATCAGAAGCGAAAATTCTACTATTTGAAAATTGTTTTCAAAGGATTGTTTTCAAGAGATTGTTTAGGAAATTCATTTTGATATACTTCAAAAGCAAACCTGAAACGGGACCCAGTACGTATTCTGTACCCAGCAGTAATTCTCTGTGTACTGTTCCATGGCTCTTGTAAATTGTGCCGGCACAAAGCACTCAATTGGATGCCCAACTGGAAAATGAAATGATAAATGTTGGGAATGTTGTTTTAAATCTTTTCCCAAACACTTATTTGTCAATTGTTTTCTAAAGTGTTGACCTCCTACCGTACCCCTATTTGTCCGCCATTTCACAGCGTCATGTCACAGCGCCATTTCACAGCGCCATGTCACAGCGCCATTTTACAGCGCCATTTCACAGCGCCATTTCACGGCGCCATGTCACAGGGCCATGTCACAGCGCCATGTCACAGCGCCATTTCACAGCGTCATTTCACAGCGCCATTTCACAGCGCCATGTCACAGCGCCATTTTACAGCGCCATTTCACAGCGTCATTTCATTTCATTTCTCTTTTCTCAAATTCATTGTCGAACTTTTGTTTTGAAAAGAATTACCCAATATTTTTTTTTTAATAAATTGCTAATCAACTTCGTTAACTGATAAAATTTTATCATCAACATCAAGATGTACAACAATAAACTAGTTTCAATTCTATAATCAACTCAGCTAAAAGCAGGGGTTTCCCTACTCACAACTTTTCTTCAAATCCCTTGTGGATATGTTTTTTCGTGGAGTGACTCGTCCTCCAATCAAAACACTCACCACTTCATTTTTTTGTTGCGCTTTTTTTTTTGCCCTTTTCACTAGCTAGCAGCTAAATCTAATCATTTTCGATAGAAAAACGCAAAACTGGGTGTCATTGTAGATTTTTCGAAAAAAAAATGCAAAACAAACCATATTGTTTAGCCGATACGAGTAAGGCAAACATGAGAACAATTGTTGAGGTGTAGAGATAATGTAAACGGTCGACGATATCATCATCTACACGGGGTTCGAGAAATCTGCAAGTGTTCGGTGTTCTGGTGGCACTTTTTTGAAGATGTTCAGCGATAATCCACTATTTTGGCTTTTACTAGCGTAGGATTGAACTTGTAGCTTTTTATTAATCAACCACCGGAACCAAATCAAAGTTGACCGGATTGAAACCTTCTTTATTTGGAAAGCTTGCCTATTCAGTTCTTGGCTTTCTGAATATCTCTAGAAAAGTAAAAGGGATTGCTTACCGTAGTGCAGTGGCAAGGAAATGGACACCGATCCGATACCCGCCAGGCATGATCGGTGAACGGGGGAAAGACTTCTGAAAGTGGAAATGAATGCTAGGGTAGACCAAAAGGGTAGATCAAAGATTTCTGAAAGGAAATGAATGCTAGGGTAGATGCTAGGGTAGTTTCTTGATAAAATCGTCTCAACAAGGTGTGCTTAAAGTTAGGAAAAAGCTACCGTAGCCTGGACTAATCGAGTAGTGAAATGCTCGAGAGCCAAGGCCGAGATGCAAAGCGGCTAGAAACTTTCTGTCAACAAGCGGATCGAAATTACGGTAACTTTTCTGGAGGCACCTTTTAGAAAACAGTTTTAATTAACGAGAACCCGGTCGATTAAAGAATTGCATAAAAAAAATACAAGACAAAAGTGAATTGGACTCTGACTTAAGCAAAAAGAATGAGGAAGGGGAGAATGAGAAGGAGGGGAGGAGTCCCAACCATCTCACTCACTTCACTTTTTTGTGTCTTTTTCCCCATTTTCCCTCCCAAAGGCCCCGTGTTTCCCTTTTCTCAATTTATATCCATAGCCTCTTCTCTCTTTTTTTTCTCATCTCTCACGTCTTTAAGCGAAAAAAAAAGTGCGAAATGGGTGAAATCAACGAAAAATAGTGATAGGAGATAAATGATAAAGAATCAACTACATTCAAATACACAAAAAAAGCACTAAAAGAATCTAAATCTAAAGTTGGTACTTGTGGACTTTACTTACAGCTATAGAACATATAAATCGACCTTTAGATCTACAGGTATTTGGTGTAAGAAACTCAACTTCTCACCTGGACAATGAAATATCATATTTGAAAAAACGATCGTCACTTTCGCGCGTCTGTAACTCCATTGTCTTTACCGTATTTCTAAATATTAATATTAACATTGTGTAGCCCTTGAAAAGAGCTTTCAGAAAATGTATAACACTAATAGTTTAAACTCAAAGACAAGGGAGTTACAGACGCGCGAAAGTGACGATCGTTTTTACTGTACGTACGTACTCATCCTTCGTTTCAGGGTCCATCAACGTCAAATCACCTGGTGACCGCCCTTCGAAAGTAAATTGTGTGTGTATTGGAAGTATTATAAAAACTTATAGAGCTTATTTGAACACTCTAGGGTCAATTGGTGACTTTCCGACATGAGATCGACGCGAATTGGATGGAAGGAGCGAACAATTTGGGGGAAATCGGCATTTTCCCGAGTTGTTATGTGAGAAGGTTGGAGTTGAATTTAAAACCTACACGACTGGGCAATGAAATATCATATTTGAAAAAAGATCATCACTTTCGCGCATCTGTAACTCCCTTGTCTTTACCGTATTTCTAAATATTAATATTACCATTGTGCAGCCCTTGAAAAGAGCTTTCAGAAGATAACACTAATAGTTTAAACTCAAAGACAAGGGAGTTACAGACGCGCGAAAGTGGCGATCGTTTTTCAAATATGATATTTCATTGTCCAGCACTGTAGATACCGTACTAGAAGTTGAAGCCTTCTCGAAACGTAAACAGAAAACAGCTTACAATGTAAATCAGCTTACAATTAGCTAGAGATTTTCCATTCACATCTTGAGCTTGAATCAAACTTTAGGGTTTTTGGCGTAACACTTTTCCATCAAAACTCAAAACATTATCCACATTATCCACTTTCATTTCTTCATTTGGCAGGTAATTTCCCCATTGAATGACCATTCACCCCCTCTCCCCAAAAAAAAAGATTCCCCATTATGGACATTGTCTCTTTTTCGCTTGAAATCCTTCAAAATGCCTGTTGAAAGACATCTCATGAAATCCGGTCATGAAATCCCCTCTTTCATCCAAACTTTTCCTCTAATAGCAAGTCGTGATTATTTTTGCAAGAAAAGTTGCAAGACTTTTTAAAATCTGTTTTGTTTAGACGATGTCTTTATGTCTTTTCTTATGGTTACCCACAACATTTGCTTATTTGGAGGTAAAGAATAATGCTGTTTTTTTTCAAAGTTTAACCTAAAAATAGTATAAACCATTCGACGGAGTGGCTGAATTTCAAAAACCGATCTTTCGGCATTATGGATTGGAAAAAGTCGAATCATTAAAAAGGTCAGCAATCAGATTCTGTTTGTGTAATGAAATTTAAGCATTTAGGAGTCATAAGTACGCTAAACGTCATACCGTAAATACTGTAATAGGACCCCACCCCCCTCGTACAGTCGCGTAGTCGCAAAAGCTTTTTAGTATTTCATTTTTGCAAAGCATCCGTACTTTCAAAAAATGCGTCTTTGATATCAAAAAATAGCTCTGAATTTCAGCTATTTTTTTGATACCAAAGCGCGCATTGTAGCATAAACCAGTGTCGAGAAAAACTCGTTCAAAGCTAGACTACGCAACGCTCCGCACCGTCATTATGAGGGTGGGGTACTATTACAGTATTTACGGTAGGTAAACTCATATAATAGTTACAGTAAGCCTGTCTAAACTTGTATTACAATGGCTTTTAGACAAAGACTTTTGTATCATCCACAGCACAATGCCATCTCTTCTCATCTCCCTCAGAAAAGTCTGACCGCAAGGATGAACGGTAAAGTGAAGAAGAATATTTATTTCTTTTGTAAAATCGTCAAACTTTGCTTATCACTTTCAGGGGTGACAATCCGTCGATCGGATATCAAACGTTTCTTTCCGAGTACATGGCTTCGAATGAGACGACAGGGAATTGAGTAGACACTTTTGAAAAAATTAGATTTAAAAACGGCTAAGTTTTAAAGGTTCAAAAGTTAACTTTTACAGAAACACGATGTCCACAACTCGAAGATACTCAAAAAAGTGTCGACACGATTCTCTTGATGAAGATGAATATGAATACACAGAAAACACCACGATTGATACTGTTGATTATATGGAAACTAATGAAATGAGATCAAATTTTGAAGGTTTCAAATCTGGAATACTTTAAGTAGATAAGATAAATTTCAGAAAAGCACTCTGCTATGCCGCCAAGCTTTGGACCACGATCAAAAACTTCAACTCCAGAAAATCCAGAGGATCAAGAAAATCCCTCTGATCTATATTCTACCGAAATTGAGCCTCTGTCGACTGAAGATCGATCGATAAATTCTCCAAGAAAGGACAATATTATGATTAAACCCATTGAAAATGATAGGAACGGGATTTCTGGAGAAAGAGATCACCTCTTCATTCAAGAACCTCAGCCGCTAAAAGCTGATTTGTATGGTTTGTCAATGTTTGAAACATCAAAAAGTACAGAGAATGGCTATGAAGTAGATGAATCCACGGCTTTAAGCACGACTTCTCACCCATTTAAAATGCAAATGCAAAAGCTTAAAGATTTCGACGTCTATTCGGACTATGACTTGTCGTTGAATGAAATAATTAAGACGAGTTCGATAATGGCAACAACAACAACAACAACGACAACGACAACTGCAGCCATGACTTCAGAGGAACAAGAATGGGCTTCACCAACAGTCTCCTTAAAAGAATCCTTTGAAGAAGAATTTGAAACAACAACCATATCTGTAATCAACTATCAATTACCTCGATCACCCGGATTTTCACCTCAACCACCGGGTTTGATGATTACAAGAGATCATCAACAAATGGATTCGAATAATGTTGAGGAGACGGGATTCGATGAAGAACCTAATGATGATATGACTCTTGAAGATCCGAGACTAGATGAAGGACCAAAAGGACCTCATAGGTCACTTAAAGATTTCAATCAGAGAACTTTGCCTGAGGATCGGGAAATAGGACCGCGAGGACCTGATAGATCGTTGGAAAACTTAAATCAAAAAATGTTCCCATCTCATCCACCAAGTCTTCCAGCTATTCTCATTTCTCAGCCACCAGCTTCTCCACCAGCTTCTCCGCCAGCTTCTCCACCAGCTTCTCCGCCAGCTTCTCCACCAGCTTCTCCACCATCACCAGGTCCTTCAAGAATCAAAATGCAACAAAGACAAGAGATGATGAGCCCGAGTATTAGAGAAACCTCTAGGTCTCAACAACAGCAACTTGTCCCAGCCACTTCTCTTACAATTCATGAACTCTATGATTCTAGAACTTCAAGTGATGAAGAAGATGACTATGAAGATATTAATGAAACTGAAGAGATCCCTTTTCAAGAAAAGTCAACCTTTATTCGGAACTACTCAATTCCAGCTTTATTGATCTCTACTCCTCTTCCTACAATTCCAACAACCGCTATGGTTCCAGTTTCATCAACTGCAGCTTTGTCTACTCTGCAAAAAGCTTCTCAGGTCTATTCTTGTTTGAAAATTAGGTTCTTCTCGGAAATACGGATTTTTTCATTGTGAAAAGCTATCATAAGCAAAACTCGAAGCCGAAGCTTTTTCAAAAGACTCGGATTTCCGAGAAGCACCGAATATTATGCAAGTTTTAGGTCAGGCAAATAGCCACCACCACTCCGAAGATGTTCCGGATTTATCGTATACCTCAGGTAGCTGTAAAGAAACGCTTTTCAACTAAAGATTTGACCTTTTCAGTCTTGGGGAAGTCTCGTCGACACGAGTGTGGAATTGGATGTGAGAAGAGCGATTTATCGAAAAGAGAATTTCCGTCGAACAACAATTACTCCTTTGATATTCACAACACTGAATTATCAACAGGTAATCGATTCTGAACTAGCAATAATAACCCTGATCTAGTTTTTTCAATGAATAAGCAGCATCTTTTCAGATTCACTCAACGAGACAGACTTCCTACTTGTATGGACGTCTCATCCAGGCTTCAACTCCTCCAATGCCATCATTTTCGGGTTTAAAAGTTTGTCTTGAAAACATAATGAAAGCATTCTAGAGTCTTAGAAGCCTTAGAAGTTTTAGAAAAGCTCAATAGTTGTTTATCGATCACAAAAACAGGGAACAAAAGGAGTCTTCCGGAAGAATTTCCCCACTCTCACTCTTCCACTTCCTCCTCGTTCTCAAGTTCGTCTTTGATTTTGAAAGGCTAAACTTTTAAATTCTTGACTTGTCTAGATGTATTTTGTTCTTAATAACTTGCAAATAAAAGTAAAACTAGGTAATCCGACCCCCAGCACCTCCCCCAATGAAGAGACTTCCAACAATGACGCCGGTTCAGAAAATTCAAGTTCAACCAAGCCTATACAAATGGAATAGGTGATTGCTGATAACTTACAATAATATCTTTCGCTTTTCAAAGATAAATATTAATTATTTCAGCAGTCCAGCAGTCCTACCCGCCTCTCCTCTTTTTAGTATCTTCCATCGACGCCCATTCACGCAAGAACGATTGTATCGCGGAAAACTCCGCGCACTCTTTCAACGCGGATTGTCAAAGGTGACAAAAAGTCTATTACTCATTATCTAAGGATTGTTGAAATTTGAAAATTCCAGGCTAAAGTCGTAACATGGACCCAAACAGATGATGGCTGTTGTGGTGGTCGATGGTTTACTCGACAGGGGAAAATTTGTCACCCGATCAACTTCGATCCTTGTAAGAATTTCTTTGCACGAAAAATTTTGATTTAAAAGTTTAGGCTGTTTCCCTTGCAATTCTTCATATGTATGTTTCAGAAAGTTTGCATTTCTTACATTTCTAAATTTCAGGGTTACTCGGGGAAAACCCCACTGAGGAGGCCGTGTTGTTGCGGGAATCCGTGTTCGAAAAGGAAAAAGAGGTTCGGGATTTGTAAATGAAAACAAAATCTGACTTGTATATGTCGTAGCCGATTATGAATTTCAGCCGATTATGAATGAGTGGGTCTAGAGGCGTCCAACCATCAAATATTTAGTATCATTCAACGCAGAATCATTAATAATTATGTTAAATTTTTTAAATTAGAAAGATTGGATAAAAAGAACACAAATTATGGGGCTTCAAAGTTTGCTCTTGAACAAACAGTTTTTTTGCTCTAATTTTTTTTTTCTTTTTATTCAATCTTTCTAATTTCAAAAATTTAACATAATTATTAATGATTCTGCGTTGAATGATACTAAATACTTGATGGTTGGACGCTCATAAACCCACTCATTCATAATCGGCTACGGGGGTCCCGCCGATTTTGAATGAAACGTTGTAGCACCGGCAATTTTTAACCTAAACTCACAAATTTGGTACCAATCGACGCAGAATTCAATTCGCTACAAGATGATATAATATTGTCCTCATACATTAAAGGGTTGCTCTACTAGAAAGATTGGCCAAAAAATTTCATTCATAATCGGCTACGACATATAAATTTCAGGGTTACTCGGGGAAAACCCCACTGAGGAGGCCGTGTTGTTGCGGGAATCCGTGTTCGAAAAGGAAAAAGAGGTTCGGGATTTGTGATCTGATCTGAAAAAAATCTGATTTGTATACAATTGAATTGAGATTTGAATCTATAATGAATTTTCTAGAAGTATCAATCCTTTCAACTCATATTAACACCAAGAACAACTTGACCACAGCTCATCACCTCATCATCACCTCAGCTCTCATTGCTCAATTTTGTCTTGTTGTGATTTATTTGTGTGGAATATTGTTATGATGCGTAAAACGTGATAATTATTAAATTAGAATTATCAAATTCAGAGCAATAATGCAAAACTTTACCAGAAACTCGTCTCAACTCGAAAAAGGATGAATCCATTGTTGTATCGAAATGAAATGACACAAAAGAAAAGGCGTAAATTCGTGAGAGCAAAAAATGAGGCAAGTAAAAGAGAATGGGGAATTGAAGGGGAAAGATTCGGAAAGGGAAATGGGCTGTGACAGTGGGGAAAGGGAAAAGGAAAAGGGCAGGGAGAAGGATTCTGGATCTCTGACAGAGTGGGTTCACCCTTCAAGTTACGGAAAGTTTTTGTTAAATGGAAAATGGAGTTTAGCAAAAGTATAAGCTTTATCTAATGCTTTTCTCATAAAGCCTGATAATGAGAGGTTGAAGGTTGATGGTTGAAGAGGTTGAAGAGGTTGAGAGGTTGAAGGTTGATGGTTGAAGAGGTTGAAGAGGTTGGGAGGTTGAAGGTTGATGGTTGAAGAGGTTGAAGAGGTTGAGAGGTTGAAGGTTGATGGTTGAAGAGGTTGAAGAGGTTGAGAGGTTGAAGGTTGATGCTTCAATGGTTGAAGGCACTTCGAATCGGCTTCGGTCAGCTTCGGCCAGCTTCGAGCTTGGCTTGGTATCTTACTATTGATTTAAGAGAATGTAAAGCTTGTAGAAAATTACCAACTACAATTACCAATTACAAATTTCAAAAGAAAAATGTTTTCAGAGCCCAAATTCGTAACTTTTTCTTAACCTCAAATCGATCCTTCAATCAAAAATTGGTTCGCAACAAACCAAATCCTCAATATGTTCATTTCTTTGTTCCAAGAGAAACGCGAATCCATTCCCCTCAAAGATGATCGATCTCTCAATTCATGCCCGGTTCTATCAATCCTCAACTCTTTTTTCATCTTTTTTTTCTTTAGAGATTCGATTGAAGATCTTTTTCTTGGGAAAGATTGAGCGATTCTCGTCATCGACCATTTGCCGATTCAATTTGCATTCGGCCTTCCTGCGATTTGTGAGGTTTCTTTGTGATGAGAATGGGAAAGGGAAAAGCAAACAGATTGTTCAAAGCCACCACTAACAGGTTATCATCTTGAAAGGGTAAGAAAAACGTCAACTCTTACCTTAACACCAACACGTCAACACCAAGAAATGCAGTGCCAGTTCAGTACCAAAAGCATAGTCAATCCATTGTTCCGTTATCGGATCTGACATCAAATCAACAAGATAAAACTTTCAGTGCTAAATCTACCAGAAAAGGAACTTGAGCTCAACTTAAATTGAGTACTTAAATACCAATATATATCATTTTGTATCAATCAAGAGCACACAACTCTAACAGCTGGCAAGGAAACTTTTCAAATTTGCATATGTTGCGGGGTAAAGGTGAAAGGACTGGCCACACCCATTCCTCTCTCAAGGGACAACGATGGGAATCTTCCGCAATCAATCCATCCATGACCCTTCCATTTCTCTTCAATTTTATCGTTTACATGAATGTCTTTCTCAAGACTTTCCAAGGTCCTCCCCTCAGAGAGTTTTGTTCTGTTTTCCCTCGTTTTTCATTCAATTCAATGTGATCCCCAAAGGGGAGGCGTGGCAATAAAAACGCTACTGTATAAATAGGAGATCTTTCTTTGGTAAACGAATAGTCCTTCAGCTAAATATTTTTGAATTTTCTGGCAGCTAAAGATGGGTACAGGCAGTGTTGGCTTGGTGGTCGGTGCGTCGACGGCCGTTTCGGTGCTTTCCCTTTTGTTGGCACTCTCGATTCTTCCATCACTTTACACAGAAATCAACTCGTTGAAAGATGAAGTCTTTGATGCCGTCAATACTTTTAAGGTGATACTTTGATGCTTTATTACGGTACTCTTAAACGATAATAGTTTGCAGGACTCCACCGATGGATCATGGGTGGAACTGATGGATATTCAACTCGGCGTCACTCCTCCCTCAAAACCAAAAGAGAATCCATTGCTGAGAAGGGAGAAGAGGTGCAAAAGTTGCTCATGAATTTGTTTAGCATTTTCAAAAATACTAGTACAAGTATGGATTTCCAGGTTTGCCGAACTACCCGACTGGTGTCAATGCAATGCAATGCCGCAATGCCCACCCGGACCTCCAGGCCCGCCCGGAGCTCCCGGAGAAGCTGGATGTAAGAATTTTAAAAGCTTAAGATAAACAACAAGTGTAAACCTCTTAAGAAAAATATATCCTGAAAAAAATCTTCAGCACCCGGTACTCCTGGACCCTCCGGAATGGATGGAGTGGTGGGGCCATCTCGCGCGTGTCTCCAGCAAGCCGAATGCATTCAATGCCCGATTGGCCCAGCTGGTTCTCCTGGCCCTGATGGGCCTCAAGGAGCTGTTGGACCTCAAGGACAACCGGGTGCCCCTGCTCAGCCCGGAGGACAAGGACCCGCTGGACCTGCCGGACCAGCTGGAGATGCTGGAGCACCAGGTGAGAGCTAGCCACTTTCATTGCTTACTTGAGTAATTTAAGGAACTCCCGGGAATCCCTGGTGAGCCTGGCGCGCCTGGGACCGCGGGAATCAGCCGAAAGGGACGTCCGGGAGCAAAGGGATCCCCTGGAAGAGCTGGAGAACCGGGAATAGCTGGACTCAACGGTGGCCCTGGATTGCCTGGAAAGAATGGAGCCCCAGGACCACAAGGCCCAGCTGGCGAAAATGGGAAGAAGGGAATCGATGGTGGGATTTAAAAATGAAAGTACTGATTAAGAGTTTTCAGGTGCTCCCGGAGTTGATGGAGGTGTGGGAATACCGGGAAGAGATGCTGAGTACTGTCCGTGCCCGCCCCGGAGTTCCGTTTTCATTGGCCAGCGGCGTCGACGAGTTTTCAGACAATAAACAAAGTGTCAATAAACCTCTTTATGCTCAACTGTTGCAAAGACCATGATTTAGAGAGCACAAGTTAACGTTAGAAATTCTTCTATATTATGCAATATTCTCTATACTTTATGAGTTGTTTGAGGCTTCTGATGTTAGTCTGACGATGCGATTGGATATTTAACTAAACAAAATGTGTTGACAATCAACTTGTAAAGAAGAAAAATAAAAAGTGAGAGAAAACAAAAAAGGATGAAAAGATGGGGGGTAGTCAAAACAGCGCCATAATAGAAAACGTTCAAAACAGCGCCGTCAAATTTCTCAAAATCCAAAAAACCAGGCCGGTTCAAGTTTTATATCAAAAAATTCCTTGCATTCTTGGCTACATGATGGGCAAAACAGTTTTTTTAAAAAGTTAATATTTCATAGATAAAAAGAGCACTCAAAATGGGTCTCTAAAGATATTCAGTTAACCAACTGAGTATCACTCGACACACATTTTGAGTGCTCTTTTTATCTATGAAATATTAACTTTTTAAAAAAACTGTTTTGCCCATCATGTAGCCAAGAATGCAAGGAATTTTTTGACATAAAACTTGAACCTGCTTGCTTTTTTGAATTGTGAGAAATTTGACGGCGCTGTTTTGACTACCCCCGAAAAGATGAGATGCAGGTATTTATTATATACGATTTGAATGCTAATTTTCAACATTTACGAAACTTTTCTTTAACTTTTTTGTCCATTCTTTTTCGTGGTATCACAACAAACGGCTTCAGCTTAAAGCCATCAGCTCTCGCAGTCAGCATCACCCTCACGTTCAGTTTTTCGTAGCCTCTCGTAAGCACTTACAGTTTTTCTTTCACTCCAACCGTATCGATGCACTTGTTCGATGAATGATCGAGTCAAACGGCGGTGGAGATTGAGGAAATAATTGACGAGGACCTTCGTTGTAATTTTACGCGTAGGCGCGTAACACGTAGACAGACGTACGGACAGACGGACAGACGGACGTTTGATTTTTGTTGTTTATAGTAGATTCAAGATATTCAGATGATTTCTATCGTAACCCGTTTCTTACATACACTATTTCTTGAGAGGAACACAGTTTATCTATAATGGCTTTATAATTTTCTAAAAAGAAAATGATAAAAGAAAGTTTATTTTTTAACAAAAAAAAATATAAGTTTAGTAGCCGAGGATTAATGAATGCAATGCTACGCGCAAGGTAGCGGTAAGAATTGAAACTTTAAAAGCTAAAATAACAGAGAAAGCTAATTTACTAAGTCCCGCCTTTTTCCCCGCGCGCCGAGAGCTAAGCCACGCCCCTTTTTGCCAATGACTGCGCACAGACGGATGGACGGACAGACAGCCCTCAAATATATATCGTGGATGCCACTTTCCGAAACACCCTAAGCAGCTGACCATAGCAAAATGGAAAAAGATTACCGACGTTGAAAAATCGAATCGAGGTGTCAGTTTCGAAAAAAAATCGAGGTTTCAAGAGATTTCCAAAGCCGAGAAAGCAATATCTAAAAGATCCCGTGCGATTCAGTTGCCTACAAGAGGCCGTGTTTTTGGGGATGTGCTTGAACTAGTTGAGAGAAAGGATCAAAATAGGATAGAACAACCATTTATCTCCACACATATACTCCTTTTTCTATTCATATACTCCTTTTTCTATTTCTATTTTTCTGCATTTTTCAAAGGTCTGTTACTGTCTTTTTCTGAAAAGAAAACCCAACTATGAAACAATTTATTAGCGTTAACAGAATAGATGCAAAATTACAACATACAACAAAAAACCAACAACAACAACGAACAAGTTAAAAATTTCTAAAAAAATAAAAAATTTATGTCCCGATCTTTGGGGTTAACATGAAAAACGAACAACACAAATCATCCTTTAAGAGTGATTAGAAAAAAATAAATAGTCACTTGGCGTTTGATTTGAAGAACAAGGACGAGGCTTTAGTGAACGAGATGAAACAGGAACCTGAAAAACCAAAAATTCTGATTCATATAAATATACATGGATTTTAAATTTAATTTAATTAAATATTTCGTCATTTCTAAATCAATTATTAAAATAATAAAAGGATTTTCGCAAAATGTAGAGGTTCAAATTAGATAGCTTTATAGCCGGAAATAAACTCATCAAAGTATTTATAGTTAAGTCTCTTGGCAGAGTGCTGACTTCAGATTTGCAATAGCCAGGTAATGTGATTTAGCCTATGCTACTTGAGCAATATTAGATATCCAAAAGCACGAGCTGAAACATACCGAAAGCCTCGGCTAATTGGTCCTTTGAAAACCCTCTTGTTGAAGGCGGTAATCATTGAGAGCGGTCGCCGAAGCTCCGGTCGCCAAATCCACGAACACATCCACCTCGGCCAGATCCACAAACACGCCCGCTGCAGGGCCGCGTCCTCCACGTCCCCGAAACACTTGTCCAGCGTTTTGATTGGAAGGACTCTAAAATTCAACAATTGTAAGAGGTGATTCAAGAACTATAGTCTCTAATTTGTAAAAGGATACCAAACAAAAACAAAAGCACTAACTTGCAGCATCACATTCTTCACGAGGTATTTTGATCTTCCGGCCTTGAACACACCGAAACCTTTCGGATTGTGTTCATACGTGCGATTGGCGCCTGGAGGATAGGCGAATCGATAGACAGTGCCACTCCGAGGATCAGCAATCTCGAAATATCCTCTCGAAGAAGGAAATCACGAGAGGATGAGCCTTTTCTTCGATGAACATGAGAACGGCACCACGCGATTGCAGGTTTTGATCCTGGCTGGCGTCATCCGATTCATCGTCACTTGCATCGTCGTCTCCCGAATCGGATGTCATACTTTCCGATGAATCGCATTTGACAACACGTGACTAAAAACTGATTTCGTGAAGCATGAGAAAGTATAAAGGCATACTCTGACGTGATGCAAAAACCAAAATCAAATTATAATCATTTATGAATTTTGCAGATAAATCATTTCAAAATTCAACCTGCTGATAGCCAGCAACACTTGCTAGCTTTTCCACAAATTGAGCAAACATGAGCATATCTTCAAACTTTGTCGTGACATCTACGGGAATTCCATGCCAAACACCTTGATTGTGGCACTGAAAGTTCATGATGGGTACTTGTGGAGTATCCGGGGGTAAAATTTTAAGATCCGGGGGGGTAAAATTTTATATACGCTATTTAAAGATATTCAGCCGCTTAAGTGATTTGGTGGCAAATTCCCTTCAAATGTAAAGATATTCAATTTATTGAGGTGATTACTTGATTACGTGATTCGAGGTGATACTCGATCAAAAACGTAACTTCTACAAAATTTTTTTATGTCATTATTAGAAATGTTGATAATATCCTAGTTGGCGGGTCATTTTTTTTCTTCAAAACCATTTTTTGAGGTAGTTTTATGTGTTGATGTGGGTCCGGCAGATGCCCAACCCACATGTGGTTTTGAAGAAAAAAGTGGTCCCCCAACTAGGATACTATCAAAAGTTTTTTTTTCAGAATGCGATATTCTGAGGTGAGCGCGCCTTCCGAGCGTGATGCGATTGATATTTTTGTTCATGCAGGAATCCTTGCAGCACCGGCATGTGGATGTGGTCGTAAAATGAAGATTCGCAGTAAGGAGAAGGATGTTTATCGTTGGGAGTGTGACAAGTGTATTCGTGAACGAGCCAAAGGAAATAGAGCAACAAAGGGCATGAGAGTAAACAATTTTTTTCTCTTTCACACCGCCCATTCCATGACTGGTCAAATATTTGTCGATTTGGAGCTCTGGACATCACTCGATTGATTTTCTCAAAGACGAATTGGGATGGGCCAATAACACAACGGTTGATTGGAATAAGTATATGCGCCAAGTATGCGCTTGGATTGTATCAAGAAGGCAGCAAGGACAAATAGGGGGCCCTGGACTCACGGTTGAAATTGATGAGACGCTAATTGCAAAGAGGAAAAACCACAAAGGGAGAATCGTACCAGAAAAGTGGGTATTCGGCGGTATATGTCGTGAAACGAAATCATATTTTGCCGTCATTGTGCCTGATCGATCCTCGGAGACTCTCATTCGAGAAATTCATCGCTTTATTGCGCCAGGTTCTCATATTCTTTCCGATGGATGGAAAGCATACCGCGAACGACAAACAATACACTTGGGGATGGGTAAATCATAGCGTGAATTTTGTGGATCCGAAAGATGCGACTATCCATACGCAAACAATAGAACGCTTCTGGCGTCCTTTCAAAGATAGCAATCGATTTCGTCATGGAAACCACGAACACATGATTGAGTCATGGATTGCTGAAGGACTCTGGCGCCTTAGTTTGCCCAAAGGCGCGGACGCATTTGAGCAAATTCTCAAGGATATTGCTCCTTTTTGGCCTCCTGGCCTAGAAGTAAATTCTATAGATTTTTACAAGTAGTATTCATTGTCACTGTTACAAATAGTCACTGTTGTACTTCACAAATTTATCTAATTATTATGTTTGGTTTATGTTTATGTTCTTGCATTACTCGTGCATCTTGTTTATTCGTTGCTGGTATAGTTATAAAATTTAGTTACCACACGCAAACAGCGGCAAAGCCAAGAGGATCGAAGCCTGGCAAGAAAACAAGAAAAACATTTTTGGGCATTTGGTTGGTTTTTGAAAGTTTACCCCGGATCTTAAAATTTTATCCCCCCGGATCTTAAAATTTTACCCCCCGGATCTTAAAATGTTACCCCCCCCGGATCTTGAAATTTTACCCCCCGATCTTAAAATTTTACCCCCCCCGGATACTCCACAAGTACCTCATGATGAAATTATTTCTCCTCAGATCTTCATTTAACCGAATTAAAAAGAAATGATTTGCCATTAAAAATTATAATTTTTCGGATGGAGTCGGCAATTTAAAGCTTTCTCCTCTTGTCTCATAATCAAGAGTCAATTATATCGTCTCATTTATATTAAACTTTGAATTATTAGATAGAGAAATAAAAAGGCGACCTGAAAAAAACA